GATAATAAATCACAGTGCATTAAGTGCCCACCAAAGTCTTAAGACCTGTGTTTAACATGCCCAAGCCCATACTTTTGCGAGCACCATGTGAGCACCTGTATGTGTACACGCGCTTGTTTATTTAAGGTTTCTCTATAGGAGCGTCCAACAGAGAGTTTGAGGGACCACAGATCCGCCCCCCAAAGATGCGCAGGAGACGGGGCGAGCTCCAAGTCCCAGAGATCCAGGCGCTGCCCCAGAACACAGGAACCCCAAGGAGACTGCAACCAGGAAGGCCCCCGCCCCCCTCGAGAGGCAAAGAGGATCGCCCCGGGGGGCCACAACCAGCAGCCGGCAGAGTCCCGGGAGACATCAGCAGCAAGCCCACAGGCCCGCCCGCAGCCTCCCACCCCCTAGCCGGCCGAGCCCGGGACCCAGCGACCCGGGACCCAGGGGCGACCACCCCCGCCGGGGACCCAGCAGAGCCCAGGGACCTAGACCCCACCAGGCAGCCACTGGGATCTATCAGGCAGATGCCAAAATCTTAAACCCCCAGACCCGGTTGCCACGAACACTCAGGCAGACCATGGCACAACCCCTCACACCAGGTGTGGCAGGGGGAGGGGGGACAAAGATCTATATCATCAAGAGAAGTTCCAGGAGAGGGGAGGAGTCAAAGGCCCCACCTGACATATACAGTCATACACAAACACAGTCACACACTCCCTCCCTCATGCTCACACATGCACATACAACCCAAGACTTACAAAAATGCACGCCGGACACCCACTCATGTTCCCCATACACACCCTAATCACTCTGGTCCCGGTACTGCTGCACATTGGGTACAACCATCACCGGAAACCAGAGTTTGACCCTTTCTGCTGGGGTGCTGATGAGCAGGCTCCCCCGCCCAATGCTGAGCACAGCAACCCACCACCCCAGACCCCAACCAGACGGCCAGATCTCCCTCCTAGCCTCCAGCCCCAGGAAGCCTAGCAACAACAGAGGTGGCTAAGACCCCTAGTCTCCCTCCGCCTGCTCCAATGTAGTGTTGTGTGATCATGAGGTGTATTCCATGGCTGTGGTGACTGGGCAGTGCGGGCATCATCCGACCTATGCCAGCTGATGCCACCGCACCACCCCACTTACACCCTCAGCCATCAGTGTCTAAGTGCAGTTTAAAATTGGAAGTGGGCACCGGCACTCGGGAGGAGGCTGAAATATCCCCCTGCCAAATGCCGTTGATTGTGCTCACTCCCAAGGCCCTAAGTGTGTGTTTGTGTGAAATGTCGTCAGTGGAAGTGTATAAGGTGCAAATAAAATTGGGGGGCAGGTTGCCACAGGAATGCGAAAATGGGGTCCATACCCGCACTCCCTGACTTGCCCACCCCCCAAGGTCCTATGTGTATGATTGTGTGATGATGTGAGGGAGCAGGAGGAGAGAAATATGCAGGGATGGGGAGGAATGGCTGGTTAGGCTTAGCCCTCCAGGGAGCCAGCTCCCCTACTGGCCCCAATAGGCACCTCTGTTGTCAAACCGCCACCCAGGGCATGGAGACCCCAGCCCATCCTGCCAAGGCCCAAAGCAGCAGCATTACAGAGCCCCACGGAGTCCGAGGGCACCAACCCAGCCCCACCCCAGCAGAATATCTATGCCCATCCCTGCATTTGCACAGCTTCCAGAATATATAAGACATGGGACATCCAGGTAAGGTTGGGTCCTCCCCCTCCTGGACCTCCCCCTCCCCTGTGATGGAACGGCAGAGGAGCCAATGTCTACCTGAGGCCCCTGAACCCGGGTCAGGCACTGCTGCATGTGCCTGCCTTCTTCCCGGCAGCATACCTGCCAGGACCCGACCCCCAAGGCCCCGCCCAGATCCCCACACGGGGCCGGCCACCCCCCAAACCCCGAGCCCCCAGCCAGACCCGCCCAGGGGCATTGCAGCCGCCAGGCAGCGACCCATGGCCGCCGCCAATATCCCCAAGGGGCCCCACTCACAACCGCCAGTAGTCCACCCCCCGAGGCAACCCAAGCACCTCCAGAGGGGGGCAACGGCCCCCCAGTCCCAGACACCCCTAGTGAACCCACCTCCAGGGAACATCCGGATACTCCAAACTCAGACCCCACACCCCCCCACCCACACTATCCCGCAGGACAACATCAACGGCCCCCCACCTTCGCTATGTGATGGAACCGATCAAAGGAGCCCAGAGAGATTCATCTGAAGTGGAAGCAGAGGCTATATCAAGTGCAATATGATCTAACAAAAGATTTCTATACTGGTTAATGCAGAGAGTTTCTTTATTTTTCCAATTCAAGAGGATAGTTTTCTTAGCGATGCATATGGCAGTCAGAACCACGTGAACCAAAGATGTTTCAATCGGGACATCGTCCAGGTTTCCCAGTAAACAAAGAGAGGGGGAAGTTGGGATATGACATTTCAGACATTTTGACAGATCCTCACATACTCTACCCCAAAATTCCTGGACAGGTGGGCAGGACCACAGTGCATGAATGTAAATGTCAGGAATGTTGTTTGTGCAGTGTGTACAGGTGTCAGACGACACAAACCCCATCTTGAACATCCGATGACCTGTATAATGTACTTTGTGTAGAATTTTGTACTGAATTAATTGTAAATTGGGGTGTCTGATCATTTTAAAAGTTTTTAAACAAGTTTGGGACCAGAAGTCCTGGTCAAAGCTAACTGATAGATCCACCTCCCATTTTTCAATAGGGATTGCAATTTTATCGTCTATTTTGGACAGTGTCTTTTATACTTTAGACAGTAGTTTGGGGGGTTTGAGATTATAGAAGTCTAATACCCTTGGTGGTGTTTGTAATTCTATTTTATTGAGCTTAAATTTTTGTTTGACTACAGATTTAATTTGGTGATATTCTAAAAAGCTGTTCTTATCCATTCCAAATTGGGAGACTATTTGATTAAATGGGATGAAGTCCAATCCTTCATATATGTGTTCCAGGTATAGGATTCCTTTATTTTTCCAGTCTGGAAGGTTCATCATTTTGTGTTTTTGCAAAATGTCAGAATTATTCCAGATAGGTGTGCGTCTGCATGGTATTAGTGAAGACTCGGTCATTTTAAGATACTCCCACCATGCTGTCAGAGAGGTGCTGATACTAATACTTTTGAAGCTTTCATGTTTTCTTATGCTTGAGCTAATAAATGGTAAGTCAGAAAGCTCTATCGTATTGCAAAGTGTCTGTTCTATATCTAACCAGGACTCATCTAGTGGGTTATCTTGCAACTAAGAAATAATAATAAAAGTTGGGTAAATCCAGTCCTCCTCTGTCTTTGGTCTTCTGAAGCGTTTTTAAGCTAATTCGTGGAGGTTTATCCTGCCAAAGGAATTTATTAATTGAGGAGTCCAGAGATTTAAACCAGTCAGCTGGTGGTTTGTTTGGGATCATAGAGAATAAGTAATTTATTCTGGGTAAGACCATCATTTTAATTGCAGCCACTCTCCCCATGAGTGATATTGGTAAGGATTTCCATCTTGCAAGATCATCTTCCACTTTCCTTAAAAGTGGAATGTAGTTTAGTTTGGTTAGATCTGCTAACTTGGGAGAGATATTAATTCCCAGGTATGTGATATTCCCCGACTCCAATTGTGTATCAAGCAAATTGACAAATGAGAAATTAATTGGTAGAACTGCGGATTTTAACCAGTTTATAGAGTAATCTGAAACTCTTGAAAAAGAGTTTATCAGTTCTATTGCTTGGGAGAGAGAGGATTGAGAATTCTGGAGAAAGAGTAAAACATCATCTGCATAAAGACTGATCTTATGTTCTATTTTCTTACACTTTATCCCTTTAATATCTATTGTTTGCCTAATTGCTGCTGCTAGTGGTTCGATAAAGATAGCAAAAAGTGAGGGGGAGAGTGGGCATCCCTGCCTGGTCCCCCTCTGAAGATAGAAGCTAGCTGACATTTGGTCGTTCGTCCTGACACGTGCTGTTGGTGAACTGTATAATGTTTGTAGCCAGTTTATGAAGAAGTTCCCAAAACCAAATTTATGTAAAGTTGCAAATAAGAACTTCCAGTTAACGCTATCAAAAGCTTTTTCTGCATCTAGAGATAATATACTAGTTTCTATGTTTCTACTGTAAGAGAAATCTATCAAATTAAGTAATCTACGTGAGTTTGTAGATGACTGTCTACCTTTAATGAAACCAGTTTGGTCAGGGTGTATTATGGAGGGGGTTACCTTCTCTAATCTTTTGGCCAGGGCTTTACAAATTATTTTGAGATCAACATTAATAAGAGAAATTGGGCGATAGCTGGTTGGAAATGCTGGGTCTTTGCCTGGTTTTAACAAGAGACTAATATTGGCTGAATTCATGTTTGGCTGTAATCTGCCGCTCTCTTCGATTTCCCTCACCATTCTGAAAACTTTTGTTTTTAAAATTACATATTGTGACTTTTTATGATAGCTCTAAGACCCCCCCCCCCAACTGGAGAGGCATGGGATCTGTATGTTCCATGCACACAACCCCGTTGGGGGGGGGGTTGTTGCAGGGAGGGGCACGGAATCTAAACTTTCCGCGCACCATGCCCACCCATCTCCGCTCAGGCTGCTATAAGCTAAGGAGCTCTGATATCTGGGAAGGGCTCAAACTAAAGCCACTGTCATGCAGCAGCAGCTCTCTGTTGCATGTGAGAGGTGGTTATGTTCTAATTTCCCCATTTGTGACATCACAAACAGTTTTTTTAAAGGGCTAATTTTAGGGACTAAATTCCTGAAACCAAACACAAACACAAAACGGATTCACGTTTGGAGTGCTTATAGAGGCAGTAGAGACCCACATGGTAGCACAATCGGATGCAAAAAGTGAGTTTGGCATAATATGTCCCCCTTTAACTTTAATGCTCAGACAATCATGCAAATCTGTTTTTTAAATAGACTTTTAAAGTATCCGTACCTGGCTGCATGCAATTATTACGAATAATTGCGTGCAGCCAGGTACTTTGTTCTTGTTCCACCTCCTCCTCACCTTCTCTAACTGTCCAGACACGGGGACGAGTTTTGGAGGAGGTCCTCCGATGTTTCCATTTACAGTCCTGTTGTCCTTTTGGTCCTCTGAGTCACTGCAGGGACTAGCAGCGGTAGGCACCAGGTTGTCATTCCAGTCTCCAACCACCACCTTCTCATTTACACACCCATTAAAGTTCTCATTAGCACCACCGCTTACTGCTCCAGCAGCCGCTCCACCTCCACCTGCCCCAGCAGAGTTTCCAGGACGTGGCTGCTTCTTGGTGGGTAGGGGTGGAGGCAGAACCTGAGCCTGAGGCTGCGTCTGGTTGCTGATAACAAGCAGCTGCTCTAAGGAGCTCCCACTGCGGAGGGTGTTGTCCTGCAGCCGAAAGCAGCTGGTGGCTGGTGTGGAGCGACGTGCTTTGGTGGAGAATTCGCTGGCAGCCCTACAGTGCCTCTCCTGGTACGTCCGTCCTGATATAAGACTGCTGACCGAACCCATGGCTGTCTCAGAGCTGCAGGGTCCACAGGGGCCGGAGCAGGAATGTGGCGGAGAGTGGGGGGACAGCGGTCGGCACTGATGAAGGTCGAGACCTGGATTGGGATGGTCACTCACAGGTAGTGCCTGAACCAGAGCCATGGCAGCCTGACTGCATCGGACAAGCCACACACTCTAATGAAATAGGAAAGACACAATTATAAGTAGCAAGAATGAACTCACCCATTACATCACACAAGTCATTTAGATTTTTGTAAACTAAAGTTTCTTTCTATCAAAAAGTTTAGTCCTCAAATGTTTATTCATGTTGAGTTTTTTCAGGTATTGAAAAAGAAAATGTTATGGATTCCTCAAAATCCCAACCCTTGCATTGTTGTTAGATTGTGGAGCATAAATGTCTAATTGGGATTGATGACATTAAAAAACTAATTTAGAGTGATTTCTGCTTCAGGAAACCTAATATTTCACTAAATAATAGGAAATCTTTTTTTTCCCTATAGTTGCAATAATCTGCAACATAACACGAGACTTAAACCCCCTGGTTTTTAAACACCCTCCATCTACTAAGAGGGCTTTTCTAATGGTAACATTAATGTGAGCACGAGGCCAGGAGCATAACGCTCATCTCATCTTAATCCTGAAAATGATCTCTTAACAAATTAATAAATATTTAATATTTAATGTTACTCATTCCTAACAGTTTCTAAAAACAAAAACAATATTACCAAAGCAGGCAGGAAAAAGAGGGTAAGAAAGTTGAAGTCATCTGCAGATGCTCTATAATTTCCTTCATAGTCTTCATCTGAAGCCGAGACGTTTATTAAGAGCTTTGAAATTCACTTTCTCACCAACACTCACACCTGTCAAACTGTAGAAACAAGCAGTAGCCTCTGCTGCACACTGCACTATTTTTAGGCGTAGAAGCATACAGAAGTATTATTAACCGAGTAAGTGGCGGCGGATCATGTCTTTCATTTGCAGACGATTTTATGTGTTTGCTGCCCAGAGGGGACAGATGAGGGACAGATGAGGGACGGGGGGTGGGGGGTGGGGAGACATTCCCCCCCCCAGGATAATGTGCCAAAACTCAGGTCCTTCTAGTCGAGTGGATTAACCCCACAGAGCCGCGGCTGCATGTCGGCTGCCAAGACAAACACAGACATACAGACTGATCCTCACTGGCTCGCAGGGCACAGGTTCATTCACACAAAAAGGATTTATCAACAAGCACATCTCCTAAAAGATCCCAGTTGTGTTGTTTTCTGTCATTTTTTAAATTTATTATTTAAGTGAAATAAGAAATTATATGTGCACAAAAATGAACAGTATAACAGTTGTGTCCCATTATTTTCCACACAAAAGAAAAAAAAGCATTGTTATGATATCAGATAATAAAAGTGCAAAAAATATGAAGGTAATAATATTTATAAGCTCCCAATGGTCAACAGTTTTTTTGTTTTCAAGATATACCGTACTCCTTTTTTTTTTTAGAATTTGTCTGATTTAATTTTTATTTTCTTCTTTTAGTTAAGTTCGGTGCACGCTCCATCAGGACTAAAATATTCCAGAACCAGTTTAAAGTGACAATGTGTATTTTCCCTGGCGATAGGGGGCAGTACATACCTAAATCACTGCAAGCGAGTGGAATTTTTTGATTGAGTAAGACCTTACCAACGGATGGCCATTAGGGTCAAAAATCCCTGGTAGCGCAACCTCAAGCAAAATGATGAGCACATCAGACTCCCTTTCATCACTGGCAATGAGTGAAGAGATAAATGTAAAACAACAACATTTATGATTGGTGAAAGCTTTGTTACAAATCAGTAAATGCATTTTGTCCTCATGGGCTCACGTAGAAGGAAACATGGCATCTAATAAGGCGTCGCCGAGAGACTTAGACCCGCCCCCTTGTATTTTAGACCTGAATTTTATGGCTATATGTTACGAAGCTGCCAATATTTTTTAACAACTGGGCATCATTTATCACATTTTCAACAACAATTCGATGGATAAGTCCAGCAACTAACTAAATATAAAATATGACACTGGATAATAACAAGAAATGTCGATTCACCAAAAAGTTTTTGGGGGTTTATTAAGCAAATGTTTTTTTAACGAACGTAAATATGTATTTAAATAAAATTTGGCGGCAGCACTGGGCTCCCTGCACATGTGCCCAGCTTTAAATCGACTACTAAAGAGATATATCAGCTGATACTGATACATTTAAAATAAAAAACATTTTAATTAAAAAGGTACATATCGGCCAACCGCATAGCTGTCTCTCATTTTTCTCTTGGCGACTTACAGAAACTAAATTTAAGACAAGTTAAAGATGGGTTCAAGGTGCTGGCAATGACTCAGACTGAGAGAAAAGATCCTGGAGTACTTTGAGAAAGTTCAGAGACATTTTGGGACCTCCATCCAAACAGTTGCTTGCAAAGGGAGCCCAGTGAGATGCTAGCCTAAGATACCGCTTTATAGTTGTGAAAACCAGGAAGAACAGTTTAATATCAATATCCTTCAAAAAAAAAAAAAAGATCTGCACATGCTTGTAACTTTTCCAGGGGCAAATTGATATCAAGAGGTTTAAGGGGTGGTAGCGTAGCCGGAACGCAGCTCTAAAGTTGCACAACTTTCATTCTAGAGTCCAAATTTTCACTTTTGACACTTTTTAAACTACGTAGATTATCCTTGAGCAAACATCTATATCTCACAAGGTTCTGACACGTTCAAAGTACACCACACTTTCCAATTGACTGCATCCCAATGACCCCCGTAACTTTCCAGTAACTTAGTGATTACAGTAATATCGTTATGAATCAGTTAGTTTAGTTGGTTCAGTTCCTGCCAGTTGACACCATGCTGATTAAACTCCAAGGAAGTCTTATGAGTGGGGGAGGTAAAAGAAGCAGACTGACTGTGAGTACACATGAGTCAAGGAGATGAAGATATGTGTGGTATGCGATCGCTTTCGATGCCAAAATAGTCAGGCTCACAACCTCCTTTCACCTTTTATGCAGCCTCGTCCTCCTCCTCTTCACTTCAAGCCCTGACAAGGACCTCTTGGGCAGTTGGGCAAGGATAATAGAATTAACAACCCTCTGCAACCATAAACCATAACACCCCCTGAGCTGTTACCCTGTGACCTCCCGATGAGTTGCAGTGAGCTGGTTTGATTCTACCCTCCACCCCTGTGACCTCCACCGGCGGGGTTTTGTTCTTGCTGCTCCGGCAACAAATCTCAAAGGCTAACAACCCCCCTCTTGATGTTCCTCAGAGTTATTGAAGCTTTTCTCCCCGTCTTGAAACATTCCTCTGACAAAGTAAAAAAAAATGCTGTTTCTCTCACCCAGTCTGCTCTCAGGCAGAGAAAAAAAACAGCAATCGCCACTAAATATAGAAAACGTTTCTAGTGCCTTAAAATCACTCTGATCGCCTTTCTTACAACGAAGCATTCAAAAATAAACTTGAATTGTGTTACAGGCAGCTGGCACGAGATCCACCGAGGGGCACTTCTCTCTCAAACTCAAAAACGAGCAAACGATGCTGAGAAGCTTCAAGGCTGCCTTGATGCACCGAGTGGCTGTGGGAGTTTCCCCTTCACATGGCAGCAACTGGTCCAAAGTGACTTAGAGCAGGACTGACAGAAGGAAAAGGTTCCCAGGTTGATTTCTAACAAGATCCAGAAGTGGGAGGAAGTAATCCTGTTATGATCATTCTGTTAATAATGCCAGGAGAGGAAGCCTATTCTTCCACAGCAGCAAATCGGCCCCTCACAATCACACGTAACCTTTGAGCTGTTCCGGAGACGCTGCTGGGCTTAGGACGAAGCTGGAAGGTGAGAATACAGAGAGAGAGAGAGAGGGGGGGGGGGGGGGGAGAGCTTTTAGAGGCAATGGCACAAAAGCTGGCTTGATGAGGGCTGATGGATGGGGTGGTTGGGGACTTTCTAATAACAGGTAAAAAGAGACTTGGGAGAACCAGGCCTCTGTAATCCACTTTGATTAATGTCTGGGTGGAACTGAGAATCTCAATATCTTCCCCTGTTTCAGGCAAGTCACCATCTCTCAAGTCCAAGTCATGCTCGTGTCCTTAGAATTCCAGTTCAAGTGCAAATCCAAGTCATGTGAGTTTAGTCCAAGTCGAGTCCCAAGTCATGTCACTACAGGCCAATTCCAAGTCCAAGTCCCAGTTGTAGTGTTTCACAAACTAAACCCAGCTCCTTGTACTCCTTTTCCTCTCCTTTCTCCTCTGGACAAACTGTATGATGGTGGGTCCTTGTAGTTTTATGAACTGCAAATTAAACTGAAGCAAACATCTTTGATGTGAACTAAATTTACTGTGTATCTTCATTCCTTTTTTTCATTCATTTTTAAACTGTTTATTTTTCCTACTTGGAAGTAGGAATTTCCGAGGAGAAACCTAACGCACCATTGGCTATCTAAAAATAAACTAAACACATGAATACAATAGCCTTCTTTAACAAGAAATTTTTGAGATGCAAATGTAGAAATGTCACTGCATTCCATTTAGAGCAGTGTTTCCCAACCCTGGTCCTCAAGGCACAGTGTCCAGCATGTTTGCCATGTTGCCCTTTTAAAAGCCAGTGTTTCCCTGCTGCCAAGCACCTGACTTGAATGAATGAGTGATTAGCAGGCATCTGCATGCAGCACTTGATGTCCTCCTGAGGAGGCAATGAAAATCAGGTGTGCTGAAACAGAGACACAGAAAACATGCAGGTCAGTGTGCTCTGACGACGAGGGTTGGGAAACTCTGTAGAGGACATTCTACTTCTACACAGCTACAGAACAACCAGTTTCAGGAGTGTGCTCTCTCCACTCTTCAGTCAGTTTTTTTTTGTCTTGGATTATTGCTCCACTCCTCTCCTGTCACTTTTCTTCCTTCCACCTGCCGTTTCATACAACTTCCCACTCTTCTGATCAGTGCAGTTATGTTTTCATATGTCCATTTTTTTTACTTCAGCATTAATTAGCAAAGACAAAACCAGTGTAAAGATGAGAGAAACAGGTGGACAAAATAAAATTTCCACATGTTAAGCCCATCTGCCTCTTCATTCGCCAGACTGTTGTGCAGGCCCTGATTGCACCAAGTGGCTGCACCTGTGGGTGCAGACTACTAAACAGACTGTTTGGTGAAGCCTCAGGCTGATC